TTTGGCGCCCCCAAAGCTACTCTGGCAGGGATGATCTTGAGCCCTTAATGGCTTCCGACTCTGCTGCCGATTGGGTACGCAGCCAAACTAAGCAAAAATTTTGAATATTACATGACATTTCATTAATGATTATAATCCGAGCTTAATATAAATGCTCTTATTTACAGATTAGGATATCCGAAATGCTGCTTGGCAAGGTTCCGGAAGGATTTACTTTTGCTCCAAAACACAAGTCAAATGCTTATGACAAGGCTGAGAATGGCTGATTTTGCAAATATTCATCTTTAGATGCAGCTGAAAGATTATTATATGCATCACCTTCCCTGGCCAGTTTAGAGAAATTTTCCAAAATTGGACAGAAGAAGGGAAAGGCTGCTTGAAATGGGCTTCAAATTTCCGGTGCTTGTATTTCAGTGTTACACAATTTGTTTGCATAATCAAGCATTTTAAGCTTCTAAATTGCTCATTAATTTAGTGAACGATGGGCATTTTGCATAACTTTGTTACAACAATGACAACAAACCTTCATTGTTATCCTATTGAGTGATATTTTCATAATATGGGAATGTGTCTTTTCTACGAAATGCCCTAACATTTACACAACGATTTAAAAGATACCTGTCAGAAATTGCTCATTAATTTAGTGAACGATGGGCATTTGGCATAACTTTGTTACAACAATGACAACAAACCTTCATTGTTATCCTATTGAGTGATATTTTCAAAATATGGGAATGTGTCTTTTCTACGAGATGCCCTAACATTTACACAACGATTTAAAAGATACATGTCAGGATTTTTTTTCGATAAAAAATTTACGTCTGTTGTTGACTACTTAACACAAACCGTCACTTTTTGCATTCGAGGCTTCGATCTGACAATGTGCTAAGTTGCATAACTTTGTTAGCCGGATTAAATTTATTCATTAAAAAACAATTTTTTATATATTTTAAACATTTTATCTCTTACACGAACAATATTTAGCGTTGGCACACCGGATTACTTCAAAATTATAATTTTTTTTTCTAAGAGGTGTATAATATATTCATAATCAATTGGAAATTTAATTTAATTTTATTTTTAAATACCTCTAATAGATTTGAAATCCATCTTTCTAAAAGAAAAAGGTTAGGATTGTTGGGTTGGTGTGGTTTGGTGCTGACCAACGGCTTTGGGGCAAACTGTCATGATCAAATGAGTTATTTCTTTCTTTTATTTCATCTGCTTTTCATAAAGTAATTCACCACCTAGATTTTGAAGTTGGAGTTTCAACAACATCTAGATTTTCTTTGTCACACAAGTCTATCCTCAGCTAACGTCGTTGAAACTCTAATCGTGACACGTGCTATCCTATACATTTTATAATTTCAACCCTGAGGGTTAAGGCTGGCAATTCTTATAGAGACAATTCTTATGTATTTACATGTCTAACACGTAAATTTCAGTTTTTACGTACATGCCACCTTCCACTTGAATGAAAAGTTTTATTTCACTTTTATAAAGTTAAAATAATGGTATTTTTTATGGGATATTAAAGAGTTGTATGGTATAAATGTAAAGATAAAAAAATTAGGTGTTAGATATGCAATTACATAAGAATTGTGCGGTACGTATGTAAATTCCCAGTTAGTATTTTGAAAAAACAGTTTTATACTAATGCTCAATTTAAATGAATATTGATATTATTATAATATTAGCACTATTCCTTGTCAGCATTAGAAGCAATACTATGGCTAAGATCGTAATGCATTAGCTAGAAATAACTTGAGGAGTAAAAAATGGTTTTTAACGGCGGAGCCATAATTTAAAAGGGCGGTGATAAAATTAAAAATTAAGAAGTAGCAACTACTTAAACTTAAGTTTTCCACTTTGACACTTGCAAGAAGGCATCTGAAGTGCGTTCGCTCCCATTGTCTGATTTAATACATCATATTTTTTTATCAGTTTGAGTCTCAATCAACTTTTTTTAATTTATGAAAATCTCCATTATCTCGCTTTTGCTTTTCATGGTCTACACCTAAACATATATGGAGTAATCATCAATAAAAGAGATAAAATATCTCCACCCGTTGAATGATGTTGTCATCATCGGATCTCACATATCTGTATGAACAAACTCTAAAATATCTTTGTACTGTGGATTTTAGTACAAAAAAATATCCGTATCTTTTTGGCAAATACACAATATTCATAGAAATCAAGATTTTAGGTGCTCGTTTCTTTGATCAATTCTTATTTCACTAAAGCCTGAAGTGAAACTTCTCTAGACTGAGTTAGTCAAATATGCCACAGTATAGTGGTGTCAGAATAATTATCGACAACTGTAGTCATTCTAGTCACTATACAATCCTGAGTGTAAATATTATGATGGCGGACTCCCTTCATAAAAAATATTGCTCCACAACATATTCTCGGAGCTCATGTCTCAATAACTATCTTATAGCCCTTGGACTTTAAAGCACAAACTGACAACAAATTCTTTCTGATATCTAAAACATGTTTAACTTTGGTCAACTCCCACACAGTTCTATCATGCATCTGGATAATGATAATCCATAACTAATAGTACAACAAGTTTGATTGTTGTCCATAGTCACTACATCACTTTCTAGCTCTTTATACATACAGAACCATCCTCGATGAGGATAAATGTGATAAGTAGCACCTTTGTCCAGAATCCAACACAAACAATTTGTAATGAAACCGTGAGAAACTGCAGATAACGATATATCTGAATCAATCTCTTCACATCATTCCATAATGATTTTGGCTCTCGCCTTATATGTTACTTTTTTTCCTTCTATTTCAACTTCAACAATATTTCTTCCAATGATCACTCCCTAAACATAAAACATTGATATTTCCTAAAACTGCACCCACAAGACTTGCACCGTTTTAGAGAAGTGTCACCGTTGCCACCTTTTTTTGCCGAATTCTTCTTCTTCTTCTCAGATTTGCCACGTTGGATTGTAAATGCCTCAGCTGACCCCATCTTTGCAAACTCCTTGTCCCTTCAATGAAACACATGGTTAATCAACATCATAGTAACTTTGCCATAATTCAAGATCTCCTTATTATGAATGAGTTTAATTGTGAAGTTTTCATATTCATATGGGAGTGAATTCCATAGAAAGAGTTATTTGCCTTCATTTTCAACCTCCTCATTCAAATTTAACACATATGCTAATAGCTTTGTGAAGTCAGTCAATTGCTCATCAATAATAATCCTCTGTCTCATTTGAATTATGTAGAGTCGACGCTTCATACAGAGACAATTCTCTACGTTCCTCATGAGATAATTGTTCTCAAACATCCTTCAAAATTTCCCTAAAAAAGTTTCCATCATTACTCTAAATTTGATCTCTTGGGTCAAACAATTTCAGATCAAGCCACAAGTACTCTGATTCATCTTCAACCAATTTCTCTGACATTTCTTTATTACATTCCTCGCCATCCAGGACTTCCTCAAGATTCAGAGTAACACAGTGTATCCATCACAATACATCACCACATGCTAAAGTTTCATTTGTTGTCGAATTTCGTCACGTTGATTTTGATGAGATGTGTAATCACTTAATGAATTGATTTTTTTATCGTTATAGTGGACGATGAAGAGCCTGACATCGTACTATCATTCATTGATACTATTATGGAAATCTATTTCTCAAAAATGTATTCCTTCTTGCAGGGCCTGCGCCAGTCCTTGAGATTGTCTGTCACTGTGGGGCGGTATATATATATATATATATTCAACAGGAAAAATTATAAATTTTCTCTTTTTCTTTCCTATTTTTTGTTCCTAAAAAAAAGAATATTTTTTTCCTCTTTTCACTTTAAAAAAAATCATTTTTTTTCTTTTTTTCTTTCCTAATTCCGAAATTCCTTTTTCTTTAACAAAGAAATTTCTGTTTTAAAACTTTTTTTTTCTGTTTTTCTCCATAAGTTTTTTTTTATATTTTTTATTTATTAATGCTAAGCAAAGCTTTCATGCAATCTGTGTTGGACCGTGCCTTAGCTCGTCGGACCCTACCAGAATAGCCGTCTGCCTTCAGAGCTACCGTCCGAACAAAACTCACGGGACATTCTCCTCGAGCCGCGCCTTTGCCCACTCGCCCAATTTTCACGTCCAAGCCACCGATTTGCCATTGAACCTTCGAATCTGTTGGCAATTCAAATAATGGTCCGATCACAAACCCGAAGCTCTGATGCCAATTAATATTTGAAACAATGTAGAAACAAAAAATTCACACGACAACAAACATAACAATTTACGTGTTTCAACATTGGCTTGATTTGCCAACTTCGATGGGGTGAGAGATTCCACAACAACCGAATGTGACGAAAGAAAAAGATTTGGAGTGACAACTCGTGCACTTTTCACTATAACTTTCTAATGAACCCCAAGTCCCTTGTACAGCCTAGGACACATAAATAAAGCTAAAAGATCAAATTACCTCTACTTACAATAAAAGCCATGAGTACAACACAAGCCACCTCTTTACTTCACTGCAAACTTTAATTCAAGCGTAGATCTTCCACAAAAAAAATAAAAAAAAGATTTAAGTCTTATTAGTGGGAAAAACTGAAAAATCTTCAAAGGGCCTACTTCAAGCCCTCACAATACTGTTTAAAAATAAAATTAATAATAATAATAATAATAATAAATTAAATAAAAAAAATCTCTCATTCACTCAATCATGGAACTACACCAAAGGAAGCTATCACATTCACCTTAAAAATAGGTAAAGCGGCATTGGAAGCTCTACGAAAGGCAAAGCAGGCTTCTTTCATTAAATTTCCTTCTTTTATTTTCTTTTTCTGTGGAATTCTATGATTCTTTCATTAAAGTTTTGAAGGGATGATTTCTTATTTCTCGTTAAAACTTTGATCAATGAAGAAGGAAATATTAGGCATAATCACTGCCTCTTAATTACGTCTTTAAAAGCCTTAATTCTTCCATAAAAAGTGATTACTATATCGTTTCAGAATTGCTTCCCACATGCAATTAAGAACACATTTGGTTACGTTGAAAAGGTTTTATTAAAAAATATCTAATTTAATATTTCTGTTTTTGATCTTCTTATGAAATTTAATAAAGTGTAATATGTTAAAATAAGACTTTTGGTTCGACAAAATTTTAACCGTATGTCCGAACTATCATGAAATGCTTAAAACTTCTATTAAAATGTAAGATTTGATTGAAGGAAAAGTTTTTGCTTGATAAGTTCAGTATCGGGTATAAGAGTTAATTACACATAACTATTATATAGAAGAGTTCATTCATTTTTATCTTGACGTTCTTTTTGGTCATGTCATCATAAAAATTAAGATTCGTTCACAAATTTTCTCTTAAAAATGGTCGAGAGATCACGAACAACCATCGTCTTCACTTGTCGAGTTCTTCGTAAATTTGACTTTTGTTCTGGACCCCCCGTATGATCTTTGTTATTTGGCTTTCAGTACTTGCTCTTTAACTCTCAACTGGTCTTTTCTCGAACATTCATCGTTAGAGATATGTTCCTTTCATCATCTACTTCTGGATTCATCTTATCTTCAACCGTGGATAGGGCAAAGGAAGCTCATTTGTTCTGCATCATATTTTCACATTTGCATACTTAGCATTTGAGTTTTTTTAAGTTGATATTAATTCAAAAAAAAAAAAAATCTGATATTGTCACCATATACCCAATTCACCCTCTCTTGCTGGAGCTCTCTTGCGTGCGCTGTCCAATCAGATTTTTTTTTTTGAAAAAAAAATTAAATTGGGCCCACTGTCATACACTTTTGATAAAGAGTGTTTTTATTGATTCACCGCGCCGCACGTATTTATGTGTGCGGTGAACGTACATAATAGTTTTTTCCTCTTGCTGTGCGTAGTTTTTTTTAACAAAAATGTTTGCTTAATTTTGAGGGTTAGAAGTGACAATTTAAAAAATAATTTGTAACTTTTATCACACTTATTTCACCCTCGATCTCAAAATGCCTATAAGCTTTCATCCAAGCCATTTCAACTTCGAAACTCCACCATTTTATGACACATTCATCTTAAAATTCTTTTCCATTGAAGAAAAGTTTAGAGTCCTATGAAAAAAAAGCATGACATTATCACTTATTTTTAAAATATATATTTAGAAATTTATACTTTTTAAAAATATCCCTCTCAACTTACACATCAAACTCTTAGTCCATTGTTTATAAAACACTCATGTTCATCCTTTAAAACATGTGTTTTTAGATCATTGACTTGAGAAATTGCTAATATTGCCAACCATTGTCGCCTTAGAGAACTAACCCTGGTGAATAAAAAATCAACCATTATTTGACTGAGATTTGATCATAGAAAGATGTATTCCTAATCTTTCATTACAATAAAAAATACTTATGTGAAATACTAAATAATCCTAAAAAAAGTTATAAACATGTTAATTTACTTTGTTAAGTAGTTTTAGGAAACATAATTTTCAATAATGTAATTGTTAGATCATGATTTGTTTGTAATCCCAAGGGCTTTGGCTATAAAGTACCTAAACAATAGAGAATTTCATCTTCTCTTAATATAATTATTGTTGAATTTTCTTTCAACAATATGGGGTTGAATATGCCATGTCCAATGAGAAGCTTCGGGAATGCTGACATAATTAACCTTTTTTAATGATAAACATTGACCCCCGTTAATGCTGAATTAGTTTTATGAGTTGCTCCGTTGGTTAATTAATTCTGGCTGTAAACGAAACGTGGGAGTTTATCCAGCTAATTAAAAGATATAAAATAATAATTTTGTAGATAAACAAACTTTAAATACTATTTCTTCCCATCGAAAGTTACCAACTCTTTATCATCATGGGTAGCTCACTTAACTAAAATAATGCAGGGTTTTGTTTATTACTTGAGACATTTACATATATACGGCTCAATTTCTATATATTTATATATCTGACATTTAAATTTTACTTTTTATATTTATACCATACAAAACTTTTATATCACATAAAAATATACACCATCATTTCAACTTAAAGGTGAAATACACCTTCTCAAAGTCAGTTTAGGTGTTAGATATGTTTTTTTTTAATGAATAGGTCGGGACGTGACGTCCCCAACCCACCTTATCGGCTCAACCCCCGTCAGGTATGAGGGCGCCTAAATATTTGAGTACCTCATCTTTAAGGCAAAAGTTTAGGTGTTATATATGTAAATACATAGAAATTGAGTGATATTTATGTATATTTTATTATTTATTCTTAGCATTATAGAGATAATTTCATTAAATGTAGATTTTCAAAATAAATTTTTTCACTTTTAATAAAAGACATATATATTTTAAAATTATTGATTAATTTGAATATCCTTTGGGTCCGTTTGGAGCAACTTATAAGTGCGGGCAGCGTTTTCAAAACGTCGTCGAAACTGCAACTTATAAGTGCGGGCAGCGTTTTCAAAACGTCCTCGAAACTCCGCGTACCATTTAGTTCGCGCGTTTCGCCAGCTTATCGGAAATTTTGTTTTGATTTTTATACTAAAAGCAGACCGCAGGTTGACATCGCGACCAGCCCCTGGGCCGAATTTCAGGATAAACAGTTTATCCTGAAACACACGAGAAGAGCTACAAAAAGTTGTGAAAGGTCTATTAGGAACAAAAGGCGGACGTGAAGGGGAGCCATGAATCAGTTTGAAGTGTAGAATCAGAGTCCGGCGGGAGGAAATGGGAAAGCAGCCATTCACAGTAGCGTATAAATAAAAATTTTTGAATATATATATATATTCTTTTGGTGATGTAGAAAATTGAGGTCGATCAACAGCCAAAAGCTGTGGTATTTTAAAACGGGAAGGATCGTTCATTCTCTTCTCAATCTCGAAACTCAGTGCGGATGGGGAGATCGCCGAGCTTCTGTTTCAGTATCAAGGGGTGCGCCGGCAAGGGCGAGGATGACGATTTCTCGGCGCCGCGGCAGGTTTATCGATTAGCTATTATACTTTGTTACTTTAATCTGTTTGTTTTACACTTCTTTTTTTGCTTCGGTGAAGGCAGAATTTTGCTTAGAAGAAGGGATTTTACTATGTTTTTTTAGTTCGTCTTTAATTTCTGTGAAACTGGATTGTGGAGAATTTATTTGAAATGTGTTGTAGATTTCAGTTTGTGATTGGAACTGATACAGTTTAATCAAGAATGAGCTGATCTGGTCTATTGTCTTGCTTGATCGGGATAGTGATTAATGACCAGCTTCGCTTTGATTTAAGTGTTTTTTTTTTTTGTTTTTCTTGACTAAGATGGATCTACCGTGCTGCATAGCCAGACTTCTGGAACCAAGAACAGGAAGGAGGCAGAAGCTTGGAAATGAAATAGTATGGAGGGAGAAGACTAACTCACACATTTTATTAAACCAGCAAAAATGAATACATATACTGCAATACTGGAAGCCGATACATAAAGCTCTCCTGGACCGTTTCGGCTAACGACAGGACATAAAAATAGAACAGAAACTAAGCCAAGTAAATCACATACTAATACTGCCGCTCAAGTTGATGATTCAAGCAGGAAGCAGGAATGATCAACTTGTTGTAAATATTGTGCAAGCGGTTAGAGCTGAGAGCTTTGGTGAAGATGCGGCTAATTGATCGGTGCTTGAGAGGTGGTGAACCATGATGTGTTTGTTGGTGATGCAATCCCGAATAAAGCGGATGTCAATCTCGTTGTTTTTGGTTCGTGCGTTAAAAGCCGAATTGTTGGCGAGAGCTAGCGATGAAATATTATCACGGTAGAGTGGTGTTGGTTCATCCAGAGAGATTTTAAAATCCTGAAATAGTTCTCTTAGCCGGATAATGTCTGCTGCTAGGGTGAATATTGCTGGCTATTCTGCTTTTGTAGAGGAGCGAGCAACAGTTGTTTGTTTCTTCGTAAACTAGAAGATGAGAGTTGTACCGAGAAATACGCAATACCCTGTGATGGACTTTCGGTCGGTCGGGTCATCTGCGCAGTCGGAGTCGGAGAATGCCCGAAGGTGTGGGTTGCCGCGGTATATTGGTAACCCTTTGTCCCCGGATCCTTTTTTATATTTTATTAGCTGTTTCGGTTGAATGAAATATTTTTTGAGAGGTTGGTGAAGATGTTGACACAGTTTATTGACGGAGAAGATGATGTCAGGATGAGTGAGCCGACCAGATGTCCGTAAGTTAAGGATTGTTGAATAAGCCTTCGTTATCGGGGACGGAGTAGCCTTAGTAGAGATGGGAGTTTTGATCGGTTTACATGACTGCATGCCGGCCTTTGTTAAGATATCTTCGGCGTTTTTGACTGATGGAAGTATAATCCATTGGTGGTGTGATCTATCTGGATATCAAGAAAGGTACATGGTTTGCTGAGAATTTTGACGTGAAAGTGATGATGTAGTTGATCCATAATATGAGTCAAAAAGTTGGAGTCACTCCTCGTGATTTAAATATCATCAACACATATCAACTCATAGCTTTCTGGGTTGGAATTAGTAGAGACCATGAGGGAGGGATCGACATGACTTAGTTGAAAGTCAAGAGATTGTAAGGTAGACGCGAGATTAGACTGCCATTGTCGTAGAGATTGATTGAGGCCGTAGAGGGATTTCTTCAAAAGACAGACGTGGGTTTGTTTGTTGGGGTCTTCAAATCCAATGGGCTGTGACAAGAACACAGTCTCGTGGAGTGGACTGTATAGGAAAGCATCACATATGTCAAGTTGAATTATTTCTCATTGTTTTGAAGTGACCACCATGAGAAGAGTGCAGATAGTAGGAAATTTGATGGAAGGACTGAATGTTTGCTTGTAGTCGATACCATGCTGTTGTTTGCGTGCCTTTTGACAGAGAATGATCCCATCATAATTCATCTTTGTTTTATAGGTCCATTTAACCGCTAGGTTGTTTTGAGATGGCGACGGAGAGACTGAAGTCCAAGCCCCTTGGGAGAGAAGCATTTGGAATTCCTCGGACATAGCTTCACGCTAATGGATGTGCTTGACGACCTCATGTTAGGAGGTTAGATCCTTGGAGTTGTCGGTGAGACCATGTTATAAATTGAGGATTTCTTTGTGTTTCAAGTAACCGATTTTACCCCTTATGAACATAGTGTGGGTGTTTTGTGGGGGTTGGATTTGCATTGAGGTGCTGTTTGAATTGCTGTAGGACATCAAGGAGGGGATTGGAGGCAAGGTGAAAATGAAGGTGGAGTGAGAGGAGGTGGTAATGGGGTGGGATTTATAGTGGTATAGTTGTGGCCTTGCAATGTAGGAACTAGAGTTAGAGGTAGTATATGATCAGAGAGTTGTGTTGTGGGAATTGATTTGGGCATGGATGGAGAAGTAATTTGGTAGAGAAATGTGCTTTTTTGGAAATTGACATGGCGTGATATTCAAGTTTTGCTGGTGGCAATTTCATAGCATTTGCAGTCTTTATGGATGAAGGAATATCCAATAAAGACGTAGGGAGTGGATCAAGGTGAGAACTTGGTCTTGACTTGAGGAGTTAGCCAAAGGGAAGCAGAGATAACCCATGGTTTTGAGGTGTGTGTATTTGGGTGGTTTTTGATGTAGCAGTTGGAAGGGAGATTGTTGCCAGTGTTGGGTGAGGGGAAAAGGTTGTCGAGGTATGTTGTGTTTTCAACTATGTCAGACCATAGTAAGGGAGATAGATTGGCGGCTTGCATGAGAGCCATGGACATCTCAAATATATGTCGATGTTTATCTCGGTGATGCTATTTTGCTCGGTTGTGCAGGGGCAGCTGCGTTTATAATGAATACCTTGATTAATCGGGTAGGTCTAGAGGGTATTATTGATTTATTCGCCACCTCCATCTATTCGGAAAATTTTTACAGCTATTTGAAACTACTTCTCAACCATACATTTGTAGGTTATGAAACCAGTTGTTATTATATATATATATAATAGAAGAATGATTTTTGATCAAGTGAAAAATAGAACGAGAAAATTCACACCAACAAGCAGTAAAACAGCGAAACACACAGATT